TGTCCAGAAAGCTGGGGTATTATGGCCATGCTAAACGCTATGGCCGTCTGAAGAGAACGGTAATGGTGGGTGCAGTTTCTGGAAAATGAAACAGAAGCCAGCCTACACAAACGTGGATACAAGACATTAAAAATGCTTCGGCAATGAAAGCACATAGGGTTGAACAACTGGCTAGTAAAACACAGACTTGTGGGTGTGACATGACGAAAGTGACATTCTTTCAAGGACCTGCTGGCTGAGGATTATGAAATTAACAAATATTTAGTAATCAACAAGGGCCTTAATTATGAATGACTGTAGTTAAGGTCCTAGCTAAAAGTCAGTTCCAACAACCCAAACTGTGATTGTGAATTTCAGTGATAGAGTAAGCTGAGGAACTCTTCTATGCCAGGCATGAGGTATGACACCAAACTCAGATTTGTTGTAGAACTATCGGTGGGTGATGTGGTCAACAACTTGCCAGCCACATTTACTTCCCAATATATCAATGGAACCCATTTAAGGCTGGGTCAACATCGAAGCCATCCTTGACAAATTTTGGACCCATCAAAGATGCAGACTGCTGGGCATGGAGAGTGAGAACAAAAAAGTTAGTTGTGTATCCTTTACAGGACGTTGCAGAACCACCCCTAGCATTTGTTGTTGTTGCTGTTTTAGTTTTTCTAAGCAGATTTTATGTTCTGTAGTTTGCTATTGCTTTCTGAATGGCCAGCTCTCAGTATCATTGTTGCAACCAATGCAAGACAAATCATTTGCAGCTGGGATCAAACATGGCACCCTGGCATTACAAAGCGCGTTCGCAACGCCCAAACCACAAAATTTGACAGAGACTGAGAAGCAGCAATGAAATTCATAATCTAAGTAAATGTCGTTGATTACCAACATCATGACAGCTAATAGACTGAAATGGTTGGGACATATAGAGAGAATACCAGATGGCAGAGAGGCAAAAATTGTGCACACAAGATAATTTAATGGCTTTGACAGACCAAGAAGACAGTGGATAGATAATATCCAGCCAGACCTACCAATACTTCGAGTCACCAACGGAAAAGAGAAAGCTATTCACAGAGATCAATAGAGGTGGATGATATCTGCAGCAATGAACTTCAAGGGCTCAGAATGCTGAGGAAGATGAGCAGAAGGAGAAGAAATGTGATGTTGACCACATCATGCATTAATTCATTCAGTACTCAAGCAACACAAATCTCCATGTGTTTCTTCAGTTCTACTTATGTTAAATATTGTTCCCAACTTCTAGGGATAAATCAGATTTTTACCCAAACCTGACTCATCCAGTTGTTACCTTAACTTCTTTACCATGTTATTATCAACTCACTTTGATCTTAACATTTATTAGTTAAGTCTGAACTGTCTGTAAGTGAAGAAACGAGAGAAATGTCTGGGAAACAACTGGTGTCAACAAGGCAAAGAAGGTAGAGCTATATTGAACATTTCATGAGAATAGGTAGGTATAAAATCACTAAATATTCACTGAAATGACAAAAAGTGAGAGAAGCAGATAGTTCTAGACTGGGTTCCACACATGATATCGTAATGATTGTAAAGGATAGAAGAGTATGAAGGACTAGACTGTGAGCCTATGTGGCGTACAAGGGGAGGATAGGTGATCCTATGTGGCGTACAAGGGCAGGATGGTGATCCTATGTGGCATACAAGAGCAGGATGGTGAGCCTATATGGCGTACAAGGGGAGGATAGGTGATCCTATGTGGCGTACAAGGGCAGGATGGTGAGCCTATGTGGCATACAAGGGGAGGATAGGTGAGCCTATGTGGCATACAATGGGAGGATAAGTGAGCCTATGTGGCATACAAGGGGAGGATAGGTGAGCCTATGTGGCGTACAAGGGCAGGATGGTGAGCCTATGTGGCATACAAGGGGAGGATAGGTGATCCTATGTGGCATACAAGGGAAGGATAGGTGATCCTATGTGGCATTCAAGGGCAGGATGGTGAGCCTATGTGGCATACAAGGGGAGGATAGATGATCCTATGTGGCATACAAGGGGAGGATAAGTGAGCCTATGTGGCATACAAGGGGAGGATAGGTGAGCCTATGTGGCGTACAAGGGCAGGATGGTGAGCCTATGTGGCATACAAGGGGAGGATAGGTGAGCTTATGTGGCGTACAAGTGGAGGATAGGTGAGCTTATGTGGCATACAATGGGAGGATAGGTGAGCCTATGTGGCGTACAAGGGGAGGATAGGTGAGCCTATGTGGCATACAAGTGGAGGATAGGTGAGCTTATGTGGCGTACAATGGGAGGATAGGTGAGCCTATGTGGCGTACAAGTGGAGGATAGGTGAGCTTATGTGGCGTACAAGTGGAGGATAGGTGAGCTTATGTGGGGTACAAGTGGAGGATAGGTGAGCCTATGTGGTGTACAAGTGGAGGATAGGTGAGCCTATGTGGTGTACAAGTGGAGGATAGGTGAGCCTTTGTGGTGTACAAGTGGAGGATAGGTGAGCTTATGTGGCATACAAGGGGAGGATAAGTGAGCCTATGTGGCGTACAAGGGAAGGATAGGTGAGCCTATGTGGGGTACAAGTGGAGGATAGGTGAGCTTATGTGGGGTACAAGGGGAGGATAGGTGAGCTTATGTGGCGTACAAGTGGAGGATAGGTGAGCCTATGTGGCATACAAGTGGAGGATAGGTGAGCTTATGTGGCGTACAAGGGGAGGATAGGTGAGCTTATGTGGCATACAAGTGGAGGATAGGTGAGCTTATGTGGCGTACAAGGGGAGGATAGGTGAGCTTATGTGGCATACAAGTGGAGGATAGGTGAGCTTATGTGGGGTACAAGGGGAGGATAGGTGTGCTTATGTGGCGTAAAAGTGGAGGATAGGTGAGCTTATGTGGGGTACAAGGGGAGGATAGGTGAGCTTATGTGGGGTACAAGGGGAGGATAGGTGAGCTTATGTGGGGTACAAGGGGAGGATAGGTGAGCTTATGTGGGGTACAAGGGGAGGATAGGTGAGCTTATGTGGGGTACAAGTGGAGGATAGGTGAGCTTATGTGGCATACAAGGGTAGGATAGGTGAGCCTATGTGGCATACAAGTGGAGGATAGGTGAGCTTATGTGGCGTAAAAGTGGAGGATAGGTGAGCTTATGTGGGGTACAAGGGGAGGATAGGTGAGCTTATGTGGGGTACAAGGGGAGGATAGGTGAGCTTATGTGGGGTACAAGGGGAGGATAGGTGAGCCTATGTGGCATACAAGTGGAGGATAGGTGAGCCTATGTGGCATACAAGTGGAGGATAGGTGAGCTTATGTGGCGTACAAGGGGAGGATAGGTGTGCTTATGTGGCATACAAGTGGAGGATAGGTGAGCTTATGTGGGGTACAAGGGGAGGATAGGTGTGCTTATGTGGCATACAAGTGGAGGATAGGTGAGCTTATGTGGCATACAAGTGGAGGATAGGTGAGCTTATGTGGCATACAAGTGGAGGATAGGTGAGCTTATGTGGCATACAAGGGGAGGATAGGTGAGCTTATGTGGCATACAAGTGGAGGATAGGTGAGCTTATGTGGCGTACAAGGGGAGGATAGGTGAGCTTATGTGGCATACAAGTGGAGGATAGGTGAGCTTATGTGGCATACAAGGGGAGGATAGGTGTGCCTATGGGGCATACAAGGGGAGGATAGGTGTGCCTATGGGGCATACAAGGGCAGGATAGGTGAGCTTATGTGGCATACAAGGGGAGGATAGGTGTGCCTATGGGGCATACAAGGGGAGGATGGTGAGCCTATGTGGCATACAAGTGGAGGATAGGTGAGCTTATGTGGCATACAAGGGGAGGTTAGATGTGCCTATGGGGCATACAAGGGGAGGATAGGTGTGCCTATGGGGCATACAAGGGGAGGATAGGTGAGCTTATGTGGCATACAAGGGGAGGATAGGTGTGCCTATGGGGCATACAAGGGGAGGATAGGTGTGCCTATGGGGCATACAAGGGGAGGATAGGTGAGCTTATGTGGCGTACAAGGGGAGGATAGGTGTGCCTATGGGGCATACAAGGGGAGGATAGGTGTGCCTATGGGGCATACAAGGGCAGGATAGGATGATGATGAGGATCAACTGTCAGGGATACAATTAAGTTATTAAACATAACATAACCCTTGATCCATTAGGGTCATGGAGGTGTTTTGACAGAGGCACTGCACACACAAACCTGCCATCTTTCTCTGTCTTCTGCTTGTTGAACAAGTGTATGATAAGTTTGCCCTGTCCATGTCTTGATGTTGCAATTCAGGTTCTTCTTTGCCCTCCTCTTCTTTGAACCCCCTTTTCCCCAAGTTTTTTTTTTTTTTTTTTGGGGGGGGGGGGGGGGGGGGGAAGTACAGTCTTTGCAATTAAATCATGTCTCAAGCTATGTAGCGATCTTTCACCACTGCTAAGAGAGACTCCTGATGTCCTGAAAATGTTTTTATATTTGTCTCTGACATATTTGTTAGTTTTATGTTCTAAAAAAACTCATTTGTAAAATTCTTCGAAATCCTGAATCCTCATTTCCACAGTGAGAGAGAGTCGAACTCTCACCTCCGTCTAAGCAGATCAAAGATTTGGCCACATCAGTTTCTGATTATCACTGTTTAGGTTATCACTTTTTAATGTTGATGTTTGGATTTTTTTTTCTACACATGAACGCATGTGTTTGTGTTCTGCCTTTTTGAGAGCTCAAATATATAATAATTTTACACCCGCCTTGCAGGCCAGTCAACGTTTCTAGGCAGGCTGTTTTGACCCATAATTTGCCCATCCATGGTCTAGAGCTATTTATGTTTACCATGTTTTCAAATGTTACAGATTTAGGACTAGCCATTATCACTTGTGGTGGACAAACAGTAACAACAGTAATGCAAATACATGTAGTTTTGTATATTTGAAATGCGTGCGGTAGATTGACACAGGAAGTGCTCTCCTACCAGTTTTCTTTGTCTAGTGACCTTGACCTATGTTTGTCTTGCGTTTTTAGGTTGGCTCTTGGGAATTAAAGAGTGAATTGGATGAACTACTTGGCATTGACAGTAATCAATGTTTGAACATCCTTTTGTCAAGTGGGCTCAGCTCACTTGGTAAGTATTCATAAGTTTTAGAATCTGGAAATTATTTGAAATTCTTCCTCTTCTTCTTTTTCTTCTTCCTTTTCTTCTTCTTCTTCTTCTTCTTCTTCTTCTTCTTCTTCTTCTTCTCGTTCTTCTTCTGCATTCATCCAAGGAAGTAAATGCATTATGGCCATTTACAGCGTAGCTGTGATATCTGTGCCTTTCAACTGACAATTCCGTCTTTTTTAGGCATTTGTTGCCCAATCTAGCCTTCCCAGCAAAGTAATTCTCTTGGTATATATTAACATGTTGGAGAACTTTTATTTTCTACAGATTTAGTTCTACTAGATTATATTCCTCATCAATATTCTCATGTAGCAGATTCTTTGCAGAATGTCTCTCTTCACAGCAGGCCAAAACGCCACTTGATCAGCAGGCCAGTTGCCTGCCGTGGGAACTTTAATGCATGGAATCTCTTTGATATCCTCTAACCATTGTTATGGTGGTTGACCTCTACCTCTTCTTCCAGGAACTATACCCTTCATCATTGTTTTTTCCAATCCATTCAGTCCTCCACCATCTCTACAGCAAAGATTGGCAGCACAAGATCCTCTCATACGTGTGGATCTTTTTCGTCTCTCATGTGAAATTTTTAAGTTTTTGAAAAATAATACTGTTTATGAGCTAACCCGATATTCAGATCATGCATAATGTCAGTATTATAACACTTTCCATCTTTCATCGTGTGCGTAATATGGCTGAAATATTTTACTTTCCGAGACAATACTGTTTATGAGCCAATCCCTATCTATATTTAGATCATTAAGAATGTCAGTATTACTGTTTAACACTTTATGCCCCTCATCTTGTGTTTAGTATGGCTGAAATATTTCTGTTTCTAAGAAACAGTACTGTTTATGAGCCAGTCCCTCTTTATATTTAGATCATGAAGATGTCAGTATTATACATATATATATAATATTGTGCATTATTTTGCAGGAAAATATGCAGCTGAAGACATTAAACAGCTCGTAGCCACACTTCTAGTATTGTATTCAGTGATGGAACTGTTCTTACCAGAATATTTCCCCCTTGGTGGATCATCAGCTCGAGAGTTCCCAGCATCCGGCATCTGCTTTGAACAAATTTTATCAGACAATCTGTTGTTCAGTGGTTGTGGGAATTCATTTCCACAAATACTGACAGCCATTCAGACAGCTTTTATGTTTTGTTTGAAGATGGAAAAGAAGCATCCGGTTGTTTATTCAACTCTAGAACTAGGAACCAGTTGGTTGAATGTAACTACTGCCTTTATGCAGTCTGATGTAGAATAAATATTTTCAAAGTCGACTTCTAATTCTTGCCTTATGCTGAACTACACTGGTGCAGTATATTTTTTAAATATTATAAACTGTTTTTTTTTTGGATTTAAAAAAGAAGTATATTAGATTAATTATTTAGATTTATTGTTACTGTTAGCGAGAGTAATTTAAATATTATATTTTTAATGATTTTAATGCAGTCTTTTGTTAAGTAACTACTTCACTTATCTTTGAATTATCCTTGTTACCTGCTAGAAGTAAAAGGAGTTTTTAATTAGCTTAATTTTTTTCTTCTTCTTCTTCTTCTTCTTCTCTTCCACCTTTTACCTCATCGAAGTGTCGGGGAAAGGGGGGGGGGGGTATAAATGGCATCTGTGCAACTTCTGTTTCGTCGAAAGCCTATCTGTGCTTCTGAAAGTTGATACTCTATCAATGGTCTCAGCCTTTTTTTAATGATCTTAGCAATCATTTTCCCAGTGTGACTGAGAAGTGATATTCCTCTGTAATTAGTACATTCCCTCTTACTTTCTTTATTTTTCCACAGCGGGACAATGTCAGCAGTCTGCCAATCTGATGGTGTTTCTTGATTTTCTCATGCCACCTGAAATATTCTCTTTAACCATATTGCTCCTGTTTCTCCTGCTGCCTTGATGGCCTCAGCTGGTAGATTATCAATACCTGTCGCCTTTAGTCTAGGGGCAGTTCGAATGACATATTTTACTTCATCCAATAATATACCTGGTTCTAGTTCCTCTGCCGTTATTTCCGAGTTGTTTTTATGTTCTTCCCTGCTTTTATCTGATTTATTGCAGCTAAGTAATGCTTCAAAGTAATTACTCCACCTTGCTAAAATTTTGGTAGGTTTTATTAAAGGTTGGCCAACTTCATCATTTATAATTTCTGTTGGGCATTCCTGTTTCTCATGCCTTTGATTTTTTTTGTAGTAGTTTTTCACTGCTGTTCTTTCTTCTTCAGTCAGCTTGCTTCCAAACTTTTCTCATGAATCTCTTTTTGCTTGTCTGATAGTTCTATTTACTTCTCTTCTAATTATCCTGTATGTTATGTAATCCTCTTCTGTTCTGCTCCTCAGCCAAATGCCATAAGCTTTCTTTTTATTGCTCAAAATTCTTCTTATTTCTTCAGACCACCATGTTGAGAGCTTATGCCCTATGTTACCTTTCCTTTTAGTTCCACATATTTCTTGGGCTATTTTCATAGTAGTTTCTCTGAAATTCAACCATTCTGTATTTACCCCAAGAGTGTTTTGTGGAAGCTGTTCATAATTTTCCTGTAATTTTTGCTGAAACGCTCGCCTATTTCCCTCACACTCTAGTTCTTTCCATTTCATTATGTCACTTTTATTACATTTCTTTTTTTTGTTTGATAACTTATCTTGACTTTTCTGTCAAGTATCACCATCCTATGGTCTGTATCTAAACTCACATTTGGTATAACTCTCGCATCTGTAACTTCATGAAAGTCTCTTTTTCTCGTCAAGATGTAATCAATCTGACTCTTGGTATATGGATCATTCCATTTATACCATGTAAAAACTTGTGAAGCTCTATGTTGAAAGAAGGTGTTGGTAATAACAAGGTCATGTTGTGCACATATATCCAACAGTCTTTCGCCATTTTCATTTCTAATGCTGCTGTCTCCATAATTGCCTAGGTATCTTGTAAATGTTCTTCTGTCTCGTCCTGCCTTACCGTTAAAATCACCCATCATGATCAGTTTCTCGTTATTATCTATCTTACAAATTTCATCAGCCAAGTCCTCAAAGAATTGATCTAAATCCTCCTCACTGTAATTTCCATTGCACGGAGCATATATCTGAAAAAACACCTCCGAACTATTTCCTACAGGTAATTTCAAACTTATAATTCTTTCCAAGATGTAGTTAACTTCAAGTATATTTTTTGTAGTTTCGGGATCGATGACAAATCCTACTCCATGCTTTGCACGTTGCATTTCCTCTACTCCCGATTGTATCAAAACGTAATTTTTGTGTAGTTTCTTCATTCCTCGTCCTTTCATTCTCACTTCTGATAAGCCTAATACTTTAACATTATATTTCTCCATTAATTCTATCACTTGTTCTTCTTTATTGCCCCATCAACATATATTTTTTTTCTTGATGTGTTTAACTTTGTTTACAACTAGACAAGAGTGACTTTATTAACTTGTTTGTAATTTTTATTTGTTATCTTATCAGTTGTTCCCAATAGAGAGAGAGATGTGGTTTTTTATTTTTTAATCAGTGCTAGAAACATGGACAGATAAGAAGGCCAATATCTGATTTTGGATTGTCACCTTTCCATCTTTCCAGACTATAGTGTTGTATTGCGCTATGAGGAGGCGTGCGACTCACAGCCCATGGTGATGGCAAGTGTGACTAGCAAGACCTGCCTGTCTTCCACAATTTGAGCATGGGAATTCAGAACCGTTGCTGCCATCACATGTCTTTAGTGTGCCTCTTCTCAGCCGCTCAGCTCTGATCCTTGCTGCAGATATGTTTTCCCTTTATTGCTGTTGTCTTCCCACTTTGACCCCTTCACACAACAGGGCACACAATTGGTCCAGGACATTTTATTTTATGAATCTCCCTTAATACCTGTATCATTCATGTCCTGCTTGCACACATCTTTATATCCTAGTAGAGGATTCTACCCATCTGCAATTCCTGATAGAAGATGTACTTAGAGACTCTACCATCCTCCAGGTGTGACCCAGCCACCTGAGCCTTCTGAGACTAAGCATTCAGAATACTGTATTTATACCTGCTCTGTCCAATACCTCAATGATTGGGATCTTGTCTTGTCACTTAAAGCCAAGTGTTCTTCTTAGGCATACCATGTGAAAGTGCATGCAAATAGCTTTCATATCTGATTACAGAGAGATAAATTCCCTGAACAGATGATTACCAACAACAGTACAAGTATGCATGTTGGAGAACAATGGGCGAGGAGAGGAGTGGATCAGAGGTAAAGTCTGACCTTTGTAGGATTATGATCACATTGGGCTGGGAGGGCAGAGAGTGGCAAGCAGGTGCTATGGAGGTGGGAGTCCAACAGTTGATTCACGACAATTCACGTCCAGGTTATCTGATTATCTATACATATGGTTCGGTATTGAGAGGAAAGAGAAGTTCCTGAGAGTTCGTAGCAAAAGCCAATGAAAAACCTCTAGTGCAAGACAGTCTAGTCTAGCATACGACATCACAACATCTAGCATGAGAATGGAGATGGACGCGGTAACTGCAGCTCTGTGGTGGCTAGAGAACAGATGCATACACATGTGGTTATTGTAACAGACTCTAAAGGCATGCTGAAAAATGTGAAGACAGGGATGCTTTAAGCAGAGTGGCAAGCTTCACTGGAAAGATCTCGGGTAGTAAGCATACTTCAGATCTTTTCTCCAGGCCATTCCAGTGTAGTGGGTAATGAACAGGCAGACAGATTGGCTGGATCTGCACTACTGGGTGGTGAATTGATACATGACAAGGCAGATGTGGTCAAGGCCCTTTGGGAACAAGCAACCGAATCAGTAGAGAAACAAGATTATTAGGGCCTGGATAGAATGAAGCACCTGGGCGTAACCAGAGGGTCTGGCCGGCTCACTACACTCAGAGGAAAGGCAAGACGGACATATAACCAGATTGTGACCTGTACAGTCAGTATTTGCGCTGGCTGCTGAAGATGAGGACGAAGAATTCATGGGAATGCCCCGAGTGCTGTGATGTAAATTCTTGACTCATCTCAACTCAACTCAACAGGACAAGAAACCCAATCATAAGAACCGACCAATCAAATCACTTTCTTAAATGTTTGTTGTATTCTAGACCCAGCCTCACGGTCCGATATGTTTGTAATTGTTGTTGTATTTGTTATTCGACCTACGCTTGGCTGATATAAATATCTGTAACCTATGTTAGCGTATCAATGGTTTGAGATTAATTTTATATATATTCCATAGTTAGAGATTTCAGGCTGTAAAATAGACATTGCCAATAATGACACCTTTACTTGGGGGGGGGGGGAGGGGGGGGGGGGGGGGTTGGGGGGGTGTGCCTAGTTGGTTATGTTATTTTTACGCTTCCTCCATAGTAAACCTCCTTTTGGAGGTGGCAGCTTCGATTACCAGCAATGTAACTACAGCTTTTGATTTTTCAGATTGTCCAATGTGTCCTTCTTTCTTTCTACATCTTTCTATGAGTGCCAGCCAATACATTGTCTGCTTTGTTTATTATATATAAAATAATTCATAAGAGACACAGATCAACTGGAGGAAAATTCTGGACTTTTTGGCAGAATAGCACAGAATTTGCTTGCTTGGCCCTATAATTTATTATAAACGCAGAGGAGAGAGATTTGTAGAAATGTGATTACCTGGCCACCCAGCATGGTACATGATGGTGAAAATGATGACTGTGTCAGTGTGGATTATGTCACTGTTAGTGGGGTTATATTCAAATATTGGATCCACAGTTTATTCACTTTTGTACAATCCTGCTTATAACTATTGTCTGTTTTGTATTGAAACTGCTTAAAGTGTATAGAGTATAATAAACATCTTTCAGCATAGTATATGGATCCATAGAGAATATGATTTAAAAAAAATGATGCTGCAGAATCAGAAGTTCAACAAATGATTCATGCCAGTTTCCGCCCAGATGATGTGATTAACTAAACAAATGGCTCTGTGTTGAGAGGTAGACAAAGTGTATGGGGTTCATAGCAAAAAGCTAGATCTTGTGAGGCCCTTTGGGAGTGAGTGAACAGTGCAGAGGCACAAATAGATCATTATCATCTGAAGACAATGCGTTGCAAAGCGTTACCAGAGGATGTGGCCAATGTGGGCAAAGGAAAGACGATATACAATCAGGCACTTACTTGTGCGCTTGCTGCTGAAGATAGGAATGAAGCACTTTTGGGAGTGTTTTGAGTGCTGTGATGTTGATTCTTTATTGAACCTTATATAGCACATGTTTTATTTTGTCAAAATCATCATCA